ACAAACTTACAAGCAATATCAAATCATCTTTCCAGTTTGGAACTCCCTTGATATCTTATCGAGGGTTTACGATGAGCGAGTTAATTACAAGTTGACGTAAGTACGATTCGCCGAAAAGCGAGCTAGCTTTGTCCTTGGCCACACACGCTAGGTTTTCCACCGTTGAAGTTAGGTAATGTTTACGTAAAAATATTAATGTCCGATGAAAATCCGCTGAAGTTTAGCGATTTGTAATGTTCTAAATTTATAAATATTCCTGGTCAAATATCTGAAGTTTTCCGACTGATAAGCGTTATAAAAATCACAGTTATGGCTTTCGAAGTTTACAGCACACTGATTATAGCGAACTACTAATAGACACTCTCCTTGGCACGTCGCGTTGATTTACTTATAGGCGTGGGAAGATTTTCTAGAAAATTCAGATTATGTAACAATGCAAATTAAAGCGTTTAGGTACACATGTATTTCGAGAATCTTGTACAATTTTGGAAAATAGGCGGGAGTTTCGCAATACATATTTAACACCATAAGCTACGCATGTTTTTAAATATAAACTTAATCTAATCAACGTCGATGTTATAATAAATATATAATAAATTCGTTACAGTATTTCTGGCAACATTTATAGTTTGCGGTATGGTGTTCTTTACAATTACAACAAAGGTGTTTCCTTTTATTTTTTGCAATGTGATGATCACCAACACAACGTGGGAGAGGTTTACATGACCGTAGCGTTGACAATTAAAACATTGCGTAACTACTACGGCAGGTGTTTTCATTTCTTCCACCTCAAATATTTGACACCAGAGTATGATACCGTTAGCTATCAAACCCTTGATATCTTGTGTGCACATGTTGTGTCCTGCCTGAAATGATTCTTTCTACTTTTGTATATGCGATTTCGCTGTGTTCGAGTTTTTCTAGCATTTGTTGTACGTCAACTGTGAAGTGTATAACTCTAATGATAAATGAATGCGTGTTTGGCCTCATCCCAGGTATATGTATTTTGATATTTCCTGGGCTGAAAACTCCTTTAGGCCATTCTGTCAATAGGCTATCAAGATCTTTGGGTTGGGCACCTTTAATCAGTACTCACCTTTTGTTAGTGGTAATGTTTACGTGTAGTTTGTATTTTCTTATTTCAGCTCCTAGTTGCGATTATTTGTAAAAGCCAGGTATGCCCTCAATAATGATTGCATACTTTAGCGGTTCCCCTTTTCTTTTATGATGTTTGACCTATTACTTTTTGATGTTTTCGAAGGTTTTCTTTGTTTCTTCTTAACGGTAATAAAACCTTCATTATCTTGAATGTTAGTGTTTTCATTGTTTTCTGGTTTAGTGTATTTACTTCCAGGGTGATTTCTGTTGTATCACTTTATTTTTGACATTTTTTTTCTAAGTTTACGTCGATGACTGTGTGACTAAAAAGTCACACACATATCGAACAGTTCCAGTTCCGTTTCACATATTTTTCATTAGTTTAATTACTGCGAAAGCGTTGTACATAAAATACACTTTTCAAAGCTCTCCGAGTTAAAAAAACTAAGGATGGTGTTAATTTATATTTTATTTCTAATATGGAAATTAATTGATGAGAGGTGCTCTAATTTCATCACGTACGCAAAAACGGTCTAATTCACAAAAGTAATTTAGAGAACTATGTACGAGTCTATCAGGTAGCGTTTGTTTAATAAAATGTCGAAGTGATGACGTCACACATTTCTCACTGGTTCTAAACAAACATCACGTCTTCGTTCTCGTATTGGTGAAAAATATCGACAATCACTACCAGTCAGGACAGGTGGAGAGTTTTCAGTATGCAGAAGGTGTTCTAAAACTAAGTAAAAGGCTCTGTGCATGCAGTATGAAGAACAAGACGAATAATGTTACCATCAGTTATTAGCATATTCTTTTAGTTTTAGGCCAAGCTTATAAATATCGCGTTCATTGTCCAGAACAAGAAGTTTTGCATAAAGTTGTTCTAGGTGTGCTATTTGATGATTCGGTGTTATTTAATGTGTAAATGTCGATCCCATATTGTATGATGAGAATACAGAAATAAATACTCGGTGATTTCGACTATAAAAATGCAAACGAAACAAACCACCGTAGTAAACGATATTAGACAAATCGGCCATGTATAAATGTAACAACTAATATAAAACTCATTAAAAGCCCGTCAAAAATGACGGAAAACCATGTACAAAGGATAAAAGATATTTGGTGGTAATAACCGTTTATTTTTCTTTATGTTTTAAGGCTAAGTAAGTAATATATATGTGTTAAAATACCAAAAGAACATTTATTCCCCCACTTAAAACACTGACTCCAACGTTAGTAACAGTAAGTCTATTTCTAGTCTAATTTAAGCATTAGGCCTAATACATATTAATATTGCGTTTGATTCTACACGAAGGTGAAGGGAAGAAACTCACAGACGACTGAAATAATGATTGTCATACATGTGTTTGCAAAGATATTAATCGAGGACTAGAGTTATTAATAGTCTGAGAGAAATAACCCTACTTCATACTAAGAAAAGTTCAGTACACATGGAAATGTATGAAGCCATATTTATATTGCTTTAGTTTGGCCTGTCGTGACTTTGGTAAACATGATGGAGACTTGTTTATTTCGGCAAAGTTTAGATATAAGCATACGATTACAGGTGAAATTTTACCTTATCAACCTAATCCATCTCTTCCTTTCATTTTATCCTTTGGAGATTGTAAAAAAAAAATGAACAAGGTTTTCGCTGTGACTGATTATTGCATTCAGCCAAAAAAAACTCTGCGCCATTTTTAATGTATTTGTACCTATGAAGCCGACCGTGTGTAGTTTGTTTAAAACAGCGCGCGTGTTGATATGGTAACGTGACGTCACACTTCGGTACTCTATTGGAGAAAAAAATCCGCGTGATGTCATGACGTCATCTCGAATTCATCAAATGGCAAAGTTGCTTGGCTGCCTTTTGTCAAATAGGTTCAATAGTTTTATTCTGTCTTATTTGTAGTGAAGTTAAATTTATATTTACATGTATAAAGTTAATATATGCGTAATAATTTTTAACTTTTTTTACGATTGCTATTCTTTGATAATTTTCTGATTAAATGCATAAAAATGCTATTGTGAATTTTTTTTTTTATAAATGCAACCAGAAAAATCACCTATAAGTTTGTTTTTCAGTAGCTGCACTAATACTAAAATATCGGTATCGGCTCTTAATTGTTGCAACCCTAATAGTAATATAATACAAGTATTCGTTAGGTTCGAGTAAATTTTTTCTTACTATTTTTGTTCCTGTCATAACATATCAATTCAAGCATCCATGCGAATCAAATTCCATTTGTTGGTGTTAATCACCACACACGTAAGGTCTGTAAACCAATAAAAATATTCGTTACACCAGTATATGTGTGTGTTCTAATTAATAATTAATATTCAAATCTACAATTCAACTTGAAATAGTATTTTGTAAAAACAACATAAAAGCTTAATCTCATGACCTTCATTCACCCAGGGTCGCATTAACCGTGGCGCAGTTGCAACAGGGCCCCAAGCGTTGAGGGGCCCCTATTAACGATCACGAAAAATATATAGCAAAGCAAGATTTTTCAGCGTCAAAAAGAGATATGCATTCAACAGATGTTCAAAGATGCTGTTCATTGAACTGTTTAAAGATTAAACTAAAAAACGGCGAAACAGAAAAAAAAGAAATTGGTTGATCTATTCTCCTTTTTCTGGAAAGTTTTGTGTATTCTTTTTAAATATTCTGATGACTCTTTTATAAAAGGATTCTGCGATTGGTCGCATGGTTCTAGAGCTATACAAAACCATGAAAAAAGTAAAGCCTACATTTATTCTGTCCACTGCTGAATGGGACAAACTAATAGCATAGAAAATGTGGATTCAAAGTTAAACAATGATGCCCCCCCCCCCGGTAGCACAGCGGTATGTCTTTGGACTTATCCAGGTTTCGATACCGGTGGTGGACAGAGCACAGACAGCCCATTGTGTAGCTTTGTGCCTAATTACAAAAACAAACAATGATTTAGAAAACGAAATACGATATTGGCGGGAGATATTGCGTCGAGTTGTTAAATGTCTAAAATTCTAGTGTGGAAGAGGATTAGCACTTAGAAGAGATAGAGAGGAGGTTGAAGATATCAACAATGGCAACTTTTTAGCTGCATTAGAATTTGCATCTAAATCCGATCCATTCTTGGCCGAGAACCTTGAAATGTGTAGAAATAAAGGCCGGGATGGGAGTTACCTCGTATTTATCCTCCACAGTTGATGAAGAAATTATTATTTTAATGGGTAATAAAATTTATAAGACAATTGTTGATGAAATTCGCGATGCTAAATACATTTCAATTATTACAAATTCCTCACCCGATGTCTCTCACTCAGATCAGTTAGCTATAATATTGTGATAAGTGGACGAGGGAGGTGATACACAGGAGCGTTTTATCGGTTATGATTCTTCAAGTGGGCATACAAGAAAATTAATGGCTGAAGTTGTAGAAAAATTAAATAAGATGGGAATTGACATTCAAAATGCACGTGGACAATCATACGATAATATGTCCGGTAAATACAATGGCCTACAAGCGCATCTCAAAAACATAAACCAATATATTGATTACATCCCTTGTGCAGCACATTCATTAAATCTAGTAGACGTGAATGCAGTGGACAGTTGTGAATGTGCATCGAATTTTTTTAAATTTTCTTCAAACCCTGTACAATATTTGTGCTTCAACCAAGCATTGGCAAAGCATTTGTGATGGCTTAAGAAGCGATGACGGGAGGCCAGTTACTCTTAAGAACCTCGGTGGAATAAGATGGTCAGCCAGATCAGTTTCAACAAAAATTCTCTATGAAAACTACGACAGAATTTAAGGCAACCTTGAAGATTTACCTAAGAAATAGAACTACTGCTTTGATGAATAAAATGAGAACGTTACATATTGCTTTTACGACAGTGTTTTAGTATAAAATTCTTCGAAGCTTTGATGCTACAAAGAAAAGAGCCTTAATTTGTCTACTGCTGTAAAGCTTATCAGTTCGCTGAAGGAATATGTAAATTCACTATCTGAATAATTCGACAGAATCGAAATTCAAGCTCATCAGCTTTCAAATATAGTAGAAGAACAGTTTAGGAGTGAGATTTCTAGAAAGAGAAAATGAAAGCTGGCAAATGATGAGACTTCTGAAAGTGAAATTAGTCTGTCTGGAACTCGGAACTTTCGCGTAGAAACTTTCATACCGGTAGTTGACAAGTTATAAATGTGTTTGGAAAATCGGCTTGCTGCATATAAAGCGACAGAAATGAAGTTTGGTTTTCTACCAAATTTCAAAAATGAGCCTGAAATTTTTGCTGCTGCTGAAAGATTGGGAGACATATACTCTCCAGATCTAGATAGTTTTTTCCCGATGAAATGGTACACTTTGGGAAATTTTTTAGAGTGAAACACCATCCACCCAATAATGCATCAAAGCAATCAGAAAAAACAAACTGGAATCTGTTTTTCCTAATGTTGACGTGGCATTAAGAACATACAAAAATTATAGTGCAGAGGGAGCTTTTTCTAAAATGACTAGAGTAAAAAATGAATTGCGTGCTTCGATGTTAAATGAACGTTTAAATGCCCTTTCCTTGCTCACGACAGAAAGGACATTGTTTAGGCAAGTACATTATGAAGATGTAATTAGAGATTTTGCTTCCCCCAAAGCAAGAAAAAAACGATTTTAGGGTAATGTTTCCGTTATGTTGTACAATAATTATATTGTTTTTTTTAATGTACCCAATTCATTCTTACTTGTCATGTTGTATAAGTAAATTATTATTATTATTATAATAGTTTAATTTTAATATATCATCATTAAAATTAGATAAATCATATTCTAATTTACTTCGAATAATTAGCTCATATTCTTTAATTAACTTGATATGTATTAATTATAATTAACTTCAAATTTGCTCGTACCCTATTCAAGAGGCCTCAAACTACCTTAATGAGAGCTTGTTTCACCGTTTGCATATGGTGGTCGAAATTGCATGTCACGATATATTAGTTACATTCAAAATTGAATTAAATAACTATTATCATTGTATTTCAAGAAACTTGGCACCAGAACGTAGTTTACAGTTCAAACTCTTATATTATTAAATTTTTAATTCTTTAATTTTGAAATGAGATATTTAAAAACTTTCCACTTATCACATAACGTGTATGAGCTCTCAATTAAACCTCTTTTAGTTCGTGTAACTTCAACAGTATTGCTTCTAATGTTGAATATAAACACAACCTATAAACAAATTTCAACGTCCCTAGCTACTCCATTTGCAGATATCAATTTTTTCAACACACAAATTAGCCCCGCCAATCTATCCATAACTTTCAAGACAGTTTCCAAAACCACACATTCTTATTTCCCGTACGTATTGAAAAGTTTTCTTTTCTATTTGAAGCTTCCAGAAGTTCTTTTTTGATATGGCAGCAATAGATGTTAGTCAAGAGAATGTGATTAATGCGCGTAAGCGAAGTTCTTGTTCACAGCAATAATCGAATTTCATCCTATTCATAACTTAGTTGGGAAACCAGTTAACTGATAGTAATTTGGGGACATTCTATTTTAATGACGTATTTTGTGTTCGAAAATGCGTAGTTGAAAGGTACACACTGTCATCACTAGGCGTTTTTAATAAAACAAGATGGAGTCAAATATGGTCGCAAAAATTTGTTTTTTTATTTCGCGCAAAGCTACACGAGGGCTATCTGCACTAGCCGTCCCTAATTTAGCAGTAAAAGACTAGAGGAAATACAGCTAGTAATCACCACTCACAGCCAATTCTTATGCTATTCTTTTAGCAACTACTAGGGGGATTGACCGTAACAGTATAACGTCCCACGTCTGAAAGGGGCAAGCATGTTTGGTGGGACGGGGATTCGAAACCCTGCCCCCAGATTGCGGGCCGCAAAAATACTAAAATTGGTGGTATTTCATATCTGAATTTGATAAAAGTAAAATTTAAGACCCCTTTGAGATTTTAAATGGTAAAAAGCGTTAATTATAGATAGTTTACATTCATTTAAGAAAATAAGATTTTCCTAAGTTTTATTTCGAAATATACGTTACCAATGATTAAATGTCTGATATTTTACATAGTTAAATACAAGTATATTAACACACACACACACATACATATATATTGATGTATTACAGTATGGAAATGAGCGAACAGTTGTAATACTTCTTTTAGTTTGAACATTGTAGATTGTCATGTAATTAAATGAATGTGTTTGCTATACATAACGTTCATACTACTAATACATCAACTTTACTAATAACTTCTGGATAAAAGATTGTGTATTGTGTAAATTACGTTACCAAATGTCTAAAACAGTACTATCAGTTCGAAATTCTTTTCGCACGTGTATGTCATGTCATCACTGATTAAGTTTTTGTTTGTTCATGGAAATAGTTATCACTACCCTGGCATGCTCAGAATAAGGTGCAGGAAAGTCTGGCCTAGTTACATTTACATCCCATGTAGGCACATAGCACTTCACTGTCGCATGATCATTTTATTAGCTTGAGTATATCCTGTGGTGCAAGTGGAACCATGATTGGGACTGTAAATGGAGCAAGGGTCATCTCGTAACGATCCAAAACCCAAATCTGGCGGATCTTGTTCGACAGCACTTTTCTAGACACAAGCCTGAAGATGAGCACGTTTCCATTTTCAATGAACGACTCTATTTGTTGGTAGTGAATTTAACTTTGGAGTGGATGTAAGAGGTCTGTATGACTTTTGTCAAGCTTTATACGTGCTTTCTACTCTTGGTTTAACTGACTCTTTAATCACCTGATCTATGTCTGCACCCATTTTCCCCATATGCTTTAGTGCATGTCTAGCCTTAAAGAGTTTTCAGCACGGTTCCTTTCCTTTTTCCGATACCAAAATAACATGTCACCATATCACACCCTGGGTAGCTATTAGATAGGGTACTGTAGTTCTGTTACTTTTAACAATGGCCTCAACATCCACAACAGCTCTTTCTTTCACAGATTTAATGGTACAAGCCAGACAATAAAAACCATAAAATTAAATACGTGTAATAAAGGTTAATACTTGAAGATGTGAATATCATTAACTGTTGACACAATAAATTAGAAAAAAGTAATGTTTATTTTATTTCTTAATTCTCTCTTTTCAATATTGATTGACAATATAGCTATAAATAGTGTTAAGGTAGAAAAAATTAACAGATAAAATATAGTTTCAGTAAAAAAAAAAAAAGTTACATCAATATGAAAACTAAGATGAAAATAAATATTTTTATTCTCAGCATGAACATTACCTTGCACTCAGTAAATTATTTAGTATAAAAACTTTATTGCAACATACTTGTAATGCTTACTAAAATACTGACAAATTTTGTGAAATTGCATTTAGTAAATTCAGAGTTTTGGTATGGGCTCATACAAACAACAAGCATGCCACTGGCATCCTTCAAAGTTCCAATCACCATATTAACATTTTGCTCAAATTTAACGTACTTAAAACTACTTGCTGTTGGTTTAAAACATAATTGAAAAATCATGATTAAAAAAGTCTCACTGATGATTCTGCTATAAAGAAATGACAACACAACATATACATACAATGTGCACAAACTGGCCATCTCTTTTTCCAGGATGTGTGGGTCCTAAAAAGGACCCAGGGTAAATGGGGAGGAGTTTTATATAAGGTAAGGAAGAGGGGGTATGAATGTATTTAAATACAGAATTTTCTTTGGTTTTAAGTTTATA